AGGTTTATATTCTGGAGCAAACGAATAGGCCCTAGGTGTCTAGAACATGATTACGAGGCTAGGTTGGTGCTTATTTTAATGCTAAAACTAAGAGATTAAGTGAATTAAATTAAAAGGTCCCAGGGTGCTTGCGGTTATGACTCCTTACAACAAAAGAGGTGGTTTATCAGTAAGGTGGAGCTTTCTGCACAATGGTTTGTATTTCTTCGTGTCCTCTCTTCTCAACCAGGAGAGGCCATGCCTCCTGTTCCTCTTTCATATTCCTCATGCCTGACACGTGTTCATGGATTATTGAGGGGATATACACTTCAACACAGTATGCCCAAATAGATAATTCCTCACCTTTTTCTTTCATATTTATCATAGGGGGTAAAGTTAGTACTTCTCTAGTATTTCAGGAACAGGCACTAAGTAAGTACTAAGTAAGCTTACATATCCTCAAACTAACTGTTGATATTAGTGTTATTCCCATTTTACAGATGAGGAAACTGAAACTTAGGAAGGTTAATTTGCTCAAAATGAGAAAGTTGTAGCACTCCAGAGCCCATAGTCTAACTGCCATGTAAAAGGTCTCACCGTTACAGCCTCTCCTAGATCTCTCTATACCTTGCAATTAGATCCTTCGAAAGTGGTCTAGCTGTGAGAATCTCTGCAATAACAGTACATGGTGAAGGACTGTAGGGAAAAGGAGAGCAAAATGTCTGAGATCTCAATTTTCGAGGTAAAAATCAAGTTTTTCCAAAAAGAGGGTTGTGATGATCTGGTTTTGAATAAACACATGGCCAAAAGGTGAGAAGAAAGGAGCAACGACCAGCCCACTCTTAGGGATTATCTTTTTTTTTTTTTTAAATATGTTTGTATTGATTTTTAGAGAGAGAGGAAGGGAGAGGGATAGTGAGATAGTAACATCTATGAGAAACATCATCGATCAGCTGCCCCCATCCTCCCTTAGGGGTCAAACCTGTGACCTCCTGAGTTGACACTCAACCACAGAGCCCACCGACCAGGCTCTTAGGGATTATCTTTTCATGAACCGCACAGTCACTGTTTTCAAACCAAAAAATAATCTATTCAAGGGAATTTATTCTCTCATAGAATGAAATAGGTGAAAGGCAAAGACAAAAACAAATCCTTCCTACATTTTTTCCTGTTGTTTACCTTCCTCACTGATGATAAGTGCTAAATATCTAATCTAGAAGTCCATTATACCTTAAACAGCTCTTTGAAATTTTCTTATTTAGTCTCATGCTATAAGAATATAACAAACTGAAAAGAGGATAGTGACTTTATAAAAAATTTTCCTTGTTTGCTCAACTAGTTACTCCTAGGATAGAAAGAAGGGAAGTGTGCATTTTGAAGTAAATTTTATTGTAGACTAGAGGTCAGTGCATGACATTCGGGCACTGGGGGTGGGGAGGTGGGGAGGAAGGTGTGGTCCCTCAGCCTGGCCTGCACGCTCTCGCAGTCCAGGACCCCTCAGGGGATGTCCGCCTGCTGACTTAGGCCTGCTCCCTGTTCCCCAATGGGTCCTTAGCGCTGTCGTGAAGGTGGGAGAGGCTCCTGCCACCGCCGCTGTGCTCACCAGCTGTGAGCCCGGCTTTCTGGCTGAGTGGTGCTCCCCCTGTGGGAGCACACTGACCACCGGGGGCAGCTCCTGCGTTGAGTGGTTGCCCCCTGGTGGTCAGTGAACGTCATAGCTACCAGTCATTCCGCCGTTCAATTTGCGTATTAGCCTTTTATTATATAGGATGCTGCTTTATTTGTTGTTTTGTTGCAAGGAGCCACACTTGTGCTCTGAGGTGACAAAGGTGGGATGAGATGTAATGAAGACAAGGTCAGGTAACAGTGGGGGGAATTCCTCCAGAGAAAAATGAGTGGACAGTGATCTGAAACTTGCATTTTTCCATTTATTACTGGAAGAAAATTCAGATATTTCAACTGCTGCTTTAAAAAAAAAAAGAGCTGGTGCCCCATCGGTGTGGCTCAGTGGGTTAGAGCATCGTCCTGTGGGTTAGAGCATCTCAGGTTTGATTCCCGGTCAGGGCACATAACCTGGGTTGCAGGTTTGATCCCTGTCCCTGGTCAGGGAGTGTGAGGGAGGCAACCGATTGATGTTTCTCTCTCACCTCTCTCTATCTCTCTCTCTCTCTCCCCTCCCCCTCCCTCTTCTCCCACTTCCTCTCTGAAATCAATGGAAAAAATGTCCTTGGGTGAGAATTAAAAAAAAAAAAAGCTGGTGATGATAACAGTACAGTGAAAATGTGTGGGTTTAGGCAACAATCACTGTAAACTAACTTTATTTTTCAGATAGTCTAACAACCTTTAATTCTAACATGATCAACTAACTTAAAACTCTAAGGCAAATGTCCTTTTTTTCTTTTCTTTTTTAATCCTCACCCTAGATATGTTTTTATTTGAGAGGGAGGAATGGGAGAAACATCGATTAGTTGCCTCCCATATGCACCCCAATGGGGGATCAAAGCCACAACCTAGATATGTGCCCTGATTGGGAATTGAACCCACCACCTTCAAATGTCAGGAGTGGGGCTGGCCACCAACTGCCCACGGCCCCTCCACCGCAATGGCCCAGCCTGATGGGCCCCCACTGGGGTGGGCCGGCAGGACCCCACCCATGCATGAATTCATGCATCGGGCTTCTAGTCCTATCTAATAAAGAGGGAATACGCAAATTGACCATCGCACCATCACAAAGATGGTGGTGCCCATAGCGGAGGTGGGATTTCCATAACACAAGATGGCTGCACCCACAGCAGAGGCTGAGTTCCCATAATGAGCTTTAATGAGCAATCAGCAGAGACTTGAGGCTGTGCCCCCCCACCCACCCAGTGGAACTTGACAGGGGACCTCAGGCCATGTCCCCGGCGCCGGGCCAGGGGACCTGAAGCTGCACCCCTTGCCCAGCGGGCCTTGACAAGGGACCTCAGGCCACATCCTGCCCAGTGGGGCTTGATGGGGACCTCAAGGTGCGCACCCCACCCCGGTGATAGGCCGGGGGACCCGAGGCTGAGCCCCCCGCCTGGTGCTGAGCTGGGGGACCTGAGGTTGCACCCCCCACCAGGCAGGGCTTGACGGGGGCTCTGAGGCTGCACTCCCCCCTCCTGGTGGGGATTGATGGAGGATCTCAGGCCTCATCCCTCACCTGGTGGGGCTTGACGGGGTACCTGAGGCTGTGCCCCCCACCCAGGGCCAGGCCAGGGGACCTGAGGCTGTGCCCCCTGCCCGGTGGGGCTTGACAAAGGTGATGCTGGCCGGGTCTGGGTCTTGCACGATTTTGAGGTGCCACAGGTGGGCGGGGACTTGACTCTGGGTCCCACGGCGTGCCCCAGACTCTGACAGGAGGAAGATTTCCATATACATTTTACTAATTTTCTTTCATCTCTGACACTTCTATTATAAAGGGCAAATAGCAACATTAAAATATTTTCTCTAATTAATCCCCTTTTAATGTGCACGAATTTTGTGCACTGAGCCACTAGTACCATATAAAAAGAATCAATTACTTGCTCAAACAATGAGCCTGTAGCTGGGAATTGGGAATCTATGTAATTGAGAGTTTCTCCTTTAAGGGTGAAAAAAACATAATCATTAGAAATGTGTATTCTCAAAGAAACATATGGATATGTCTAAAACTATGCAATAAATATTAATCAGACTAACTTTTTTCTTTCAAATTTCCTTTTTATTCTAAGTTGTTAGCCCTTTCCTTACTTCCTTTTTTCTTCTAAGTAAGTGTATATCCCCAGTGTGCCTTGTACATTTCCTACCTGGAACTTCAATGCCAGTGATGAAGTAGAGAGCAAATAGCAGCACAGGCACACCCCTCTGGGTAAAAGACTGTCAAACACAGTCCCGATGCCTCTCTGGTGGCAGTGATTTCTGAGAATGAGGCTGATGACACAGATCCACTTGGAAAAGGTCCACCAGCATCCAGGCTCCGAGGACAATACTAGCACAGGACACCAGAACACTCCCCTGCCCGCGGAGTGTTTATTTTATAGCTTTTGCGTCAGGTAATCAACTGAAACACTTCAACAACAGAAAGCTGGCAGAATGTTAAGGAAAAGGAGTGATTATCTCTCCAGCAGATGTGACAAAATGGTTTCACGTTGGAAGCAGTATTGAATAAATGAATCAACTGAATGGGGGAGGGAGGAGGGAAGGGAGAGAGAGCAGAGAAAGCAAGAAGTGAGCGTCTTCCAACACGGACTGTGAGGGAGGAAAGGCACTATTCAGCTGTCTGTGTATTTATAAACTAAAAATCAAAACACACAATCCGTTTCTCAAAATTACATTCGACACTGCTGTAGAGACGCTCACAGACCTCTCCATAGAAAGCTACAGAAGCTCCTATGAAATCAGACAGACAGCACCTGTGTCTAAATCACAGGCTTACCCAGTAGTGTGTTTTAAAGAGATCATCGCCATGGGGCCCTTTTATAAATAGTGCTGCAAAGGTCACCAAGCTGCATGAACTTAAATTATAGGATAAATCTGACTAACTGAGCACCCGTTTCAATCTCTCAAATTCCCACTCCAGGAAATCAGAAAGCAAGCTCCACTCCTGAGGCGCCGAATTGGCAGTGCCGCTGAAACAGGGTCGCTTTCCCCTCCGAAGGCTGCCTGAGCAGCAGTTTAGCTGGCAGCAGACAGCAACTCTGCACAGGGTAAATGAATGCAAAATTTAACACAATGGCCCCGCTTCCTCTCAAACTAAATAGCTATAATTTACGAAGAGGCAAGTTTTCAAATCATAAATTAGAAGCACCACCTGCACCTCTCTTAAAGACAAACTTCCTAAAAGGTTACAGTACTGGGTGCTTCTCAGAATTAAGGATTCAAGGACCATAGGTGTGTTTGACAATGATCCCTGGGAAAACCCAAATACCATGGTTTACACAGATGTTCTCTATGTAGAATCTAAATATAAATTAAAATACCAGCTATGCATTTGGGAACCAGCCTTTAGTTAAATTCTCTAGTGCTTTTAGAATTTTTATTTCATTTTATTAGAAAAAGAGAGTCATTGTCTACAAACTATTTTCTTTCTAACTATGCAAATACAATGAGCAAATCATCTGCAATATCAAAATACTGTTTGTAAATCACTGATGGCACTAACAATTTTAGGAATTTTCAATAGGACATATATAGAGAAAGAACAACAGTAGATTTCAAATTGTAGACATTAACTGAGTTTTAAGAATAGAAAATAAAATTTAAACTTTAAAAGTCAGTAAGTTCAAATTCTCCAATTTTCAAAAATTTAAACCCAATCATTAGGAATTCAGAAGTACCCAATATGTTCAAAGTTGCACAAATGAGTATGGATGATGATAGAAAAGCAAAGTAATCCCCATGCAATATCTTAAGTGTTGCTATCGGATATATTTAAGTGATACTTTACACATTAAAGCTGGGTAAAATAAAAATATATCCTCTCCATTACATTAAAACAATCACAATAATTTATCAACAGTTTGCCATTTCACAGCAATTAGAAAACAGGAGTTGATACAAGTTGAACAAAAAGGTACTTTTTCCTCTTTGGGGAAATAAACATATATAGATAGGTATATATACACACACACATAACATTATCTTAAAATTCAAACTGGTTGATTTGCTTTTGTATTGTTAAAAAAAAATTTCCCTATGATCAAAATACTGAAAAAGCACAAAGGCTAAAAAAAGAAAACCACATTTGCCATTTTAAAAAAATACATTATTGTCTCAGTGGTTCTATATATTTGCTACAAAGTTAGGTATTATAAGGACTCTGTGCGTATCAGACTCCTGGGGCTATACTGGACCAGATGGAATGAAATCTGACCCTTTCTCGGGCTCCAGGAAAGATAATCCTAACCTACCCTAAAAGATGGTAGAATAAGCCCCTACGCTGAACTATTAAACTGGGGAAGAAAACATGTCCACCTGGAAGCAATCTAAGTCATAAAAGTTTATGCATCTGTGGGAGAGACTGCCTGAATCAGAAAGCTATTCTTTGGATATAAGTTAGGAGCTTTTGAAAGTATATAAACTCTTTTAGGCCACTAGAGTACAGATTCAAAAATGATTTCTCCATAAATAATTATCTATTTTGGGGGTTGGTAAACTACAGCCCCTGGGCATGTCAGCTGTTTTCGTAATAATGTTTTATTGGAAAATAGCCATCTCATTCGTTTATGTGTTGTCTATGGGTGCTTTTGTGCTAACTGGCAGAGTTGAGTAGTTGTGACAGAGACCATATGGCCTGCAACACCTCAAAAATTTACTCTCCCGACCTTTATAGAGAAAGCTCACTGACTCCCTGGCTTAGTGCACTATGTGCGCCTCTGGTTAAATGAAGAGTTAATGCACCTCAGGGAGCTCTCGGCATGTACTCCAAGAATGACCAACACACTGGGGCTCCTTAGCAGGTAAATGTCAAACGCTCCACCTGGAAATGGTGCTTTCCTTTGGGGCAAGGAAATAATTTGTATATATTTTCAACAATTATCTGTAAACATTAATACACACAAAAAATACAGAAAGCCAAATAAGAAAAGTATGCCTGTCAATGTTCTCTTAATAGGTTCCTATTACTGGGGGGAAAGGGTATGAAAATGATTCTGTTGACTTCCTCTTCTCTAAATTTGTTAATAAATGTTTTTTGATAAGTAGTGCTCGCTCCTGGCCTCCCATGTAATTAATAGCCTTGAAAGCAACCTGCCTACAATGCTAACATGGTTTGTTGAGGCCTTGTTTGGGAATATTTATTTAAACTACAGATACTAAAGATTATTCTTTTAGAAAAATGTTTCTAAATTTCTTTATCTCTGTCACTCTAAGAAGGTGAAGAAGGTAAAAAATGCCCAGGTAAATGAAACTGCAAAATATACCTTAAAAACTAGAGGTACAAAACAGCTACCACTTCTGAATGGTAATGTAAAATAAAAACAGAAAACTCTTCCAAATTTGAAGAACAAATTTTCCCTGCCCTGAGTCAGCTAATGAAGACTTTTTCAAACAGGGAACCTCCTGAACTCAAGCAGATGCTCATGAATTGTTAAGAATTCACAGGTGCTTCATATTTTAATAGTTGAAACAGGGAAGATAAAACACTGAGAAGATATTTATCAAACACAAATTTATATCAAGATTAAATTTTTTTTCAACCAGCTTATAAGTGGACTTTCCCTTTCTTTTTTAAAAAATGAACAGTATGAAACTATATGTTCAAGATGTTTCCATAATACCTTACATTTATATAGCACTTTACAGTTTCAAAGTGCTTTCATATGCCATCTCATTTAATCCTCACAACACCCCTGCGAGGTAGGTACAGCAGGTATTACTACTCTCATTTCAAGATGAGGACATTGAGGCAGAGAGAGGTTAAGTGACTCACCCAAGATCACACAGCTGAAAAGTGGCAGATCCAGGACCAGAAATCAAGTTTTCTGACTCCTTGTCCAGGACTCTTTCCACTTATAACTACTGCCCCCAATTCTGAACAATGTACTGTGTATCAAAATTGAAAGGTTATTAGGGTTAATTTCAGTGATATCTTAAAGTTAAATGAGAAATACGAGAACAGTATGTCTGATGGTTTTACTTGACATAATAAAATGGGTGCAAAACCACTTTTGTCTAATTACTTTTAACCTTTTGGTCCAAATACATAAAATATGCAATATTTACAGCATTTTCCTTTTTGTAAATGCAATGCTTTAAAACACATTATAAAGCACCATAGTAAAAATAGTTTACAAGTAAAAGTACAGAAGTAGGAAAACCCTACCCATACCACAGCTCACTAAATGGAGTTATAATATGGAGTCACCAGTACCTGTTGACAGCTTTACAGATAACCTGGAGAAACAAATACTAAACTTACTTTTCTTTTATATTAATGTGTGGAAGCCTCAACTAAAATTTCAGCGTTCTCTGTAGTGTCTCCCCAATCTTAGATACTGGAGACAGGAATGAGAAACACTGCTTTGATCTTTTTACAGTATTAGTAATAGTTTGAATTGGTTTTTAACACTAATGGCAATTATTTTTTTAAAGGAAATGAACATGGCCTACATAAATATGGGCAATTCCAACTACAGCAGAGACACTTCCTAGCAAACATGATCAAGGATTCCAATAATTTCATGAAACTTGACTCACAGAAATGAAGCGCACACTGCCCACCAGCAGCAACACTACTCAGTGCAGCTGCGTAACCAACCCTCCGGGTGAAGGCCGAGGAGCAAATGGATTGGTCTTCATTCGTGGTTAGTTGAAAAAAGCGCTTTATCAAAAAACAGAGTATCAGAATTTTTTCTAAAATTGTATTTAGCCTTTTGATTAGAACTGCTATGTGTTTACTTTAGGTGATACATAGGATTTTCCCAGGCAGGAGGTTGTAACTCCCACCAAAATTTAACTAGAAAAAAAAAAAGGCTGAACCTTAAACTTCTTCGGCCACTGACATGCCAGCTAGCATCTACTTTCCTTGATCGTTTTTGTTCCTAACTTGGCTCAATATGAACTGTGGATCTGAGAACTAAGGTGAAGACAGGGTCCAAGTTTTAGTTGAAAAATCAAATAGTCACACCTTGTACTCAGTTTGATTTAGGGTAAATCTTTTCATAGAAAAAGTTCTGTGCAAGGATGTAGAGGTCTCCATCTTTTTCTCGGACAGCGTGGGCTCTGATGAATTGGAACTGCTCTAGTGCAAATTCATAGAACTCATTCTCCATTTTCCAAATGTCAGACTGCTGTAGTTTTGCAATGGTTTGTTTAGTGGGGAGTTTCTTCTCTGTGGTTTTCCTAAGATGAGATTTCTTTCCTACTTATAAAGGAAAAAAAGAAAAGGTAAATAATTCCGAGAACACACAAAAGATCAATGCCTCTTCATTTGAAGAGATGGTTTAAGTTAACAGGGAAGGACAGGCAACAACTGTTTTGTATTATCACCAGGGCAAAAACCAGTGCCCTAATCCTACTGAAAATGTGATTTATTGCTTTTAATGTAAATCTTTAACCAGTGAAAGACTTAATGAGCTATCAGATAGTAAAAGCAAGGACTGTCCATCACTGAAGACTATCACAATATATGCCGTACTCTCAAGTGCTCTCACTAGTTCAATTTCGAAAAGAGAGTAAAATACCTATTTCAACCTTAATACTAATTTCTCATTACCTTTACTCCATCTATACTAATAATAGAGGAATATGCAAATTGTCCAGGACTCCATCATAGTAACAACTGAACAGCAGGCTGTGTGGGGCAACAAGACCGAAAGGGGGGGGCAGTTGGGGGTGACCAGGTTGGCAGGGGGGCAGTTGGGGGTAACCAGGCCAGCGGGGGGAGGGGGGGGCAGTAAGGGGCGACCAGGACAGCAGGCAGAGGTGGTTAGGGGTGATCAGGCTATCAGGGGGGGCAGTTAGGAGCCAGCAGTCCCAGATTGTGAGAGGGATGTCCGACTGTTGGTCTAGGCCCGATCCTGGGGCCTACTGAAATAGCTGACTGACAGTCGGATATTTCCTGAGGGGTCCCGGATTGGAGAGGGTGCAGGCTGGGCTGAGGGGAACCCCCCTCCCCCATTTCAGAAATTTCATGCACCAGGTCTCTAGTATAATTATATGTTAGAAACTAGGGCATATGTATATCTTAGAAAAAGACCTCCTCTGACAATATCTTATCAGAGAATGGCAAAATAACATTGAACAAAGAAACAAAACCATCCAAGGGAGACTAGACAGTCACTTTCAGGTGTGAACTACTGCCGAGGCTGCTGAAGCATCTCTTAAGAGGACTGTAACAGTCACAGCAGATGATGGTCATCATTAAAGTGACCGAGCTCTACTGTCCTGCCTATACTCAAATGGCATTAGTAGGTCTGAGGGTGGAACAGTCATAATACTTGGTACTGGAATTATAAAATATTACACATTTCTGAGATTGGTTCTGTAGTTTGCATCTTTCCACTATTCCTACAATGCCTGCTAATTATCACCTAATAGATGTTCATTCATTCAAAAAATATTTACTGAACACCATCTGTGTGCCAGGAATTGTTTTGTATTGAAAATGTTGAGGAGAAACAGACAATTTACTTTGAGTAACAGACAAGTTCCTTAAGAAATTTCAAATCACACAGATTTCTCATTTTTCAAACGAAGAGAGTTGAGGACAGCTTTAGAAAGAAACCCATCATTTATATACCTGTACGGTAGAGGTCTGTAGCACCCCTGAAGAACCTGGGCAAAGCTGCCTCCAGTAACATGATAAAATCTTCAAGCTCTTCAGTAACTCCCACCAGAAAGTATTCATTAATTAGGTTATACTTGGCTTGATCCATAGCCCACCTGCTTCCCACATTCCTAAAACCAAGAAAAGAAATTAAGAACCTGGTTGCTCAATCTGCTAAGTATATTTGATGTCTTTGCCACTGTATATTATGGAAAAAATAGATAAACACATGTCCATCCAAAGCCTTAGCACTTTTATTAATGTCCTTTAAGAGACACATGTTTTTAATTTTCTTTGCCTCTATCCCCAGTTTCTGCTCAACTATGCAGTGCAAACTCAGACTTTACAGTTAGTTTAATATTAACAAAATTTAGTTTGAGGGCAGTTAAAAAAAATGTATACATAACACATATTTCTCTTATCTGATTTATTGTGCACTTCATATTTTTAAATTAAAGTAACTGTTCATTTTAAAAGCTACCTAGTAAGGTCTAAGCACTTTGAGTTTAGTGTTTATCTGAATTTAATTTGTGAGCGTAGGTTTTTCCATCATTTCTGAGGAACAGAAGTAAGATAAGAAATGGTCCTGCCAGGAACCGCCCCCCCTTTTTTTTTTACACTAGAGGCCCGGTGCACAAAGTTTGTGCATGGGGGTGTGGGGAGTGTATGTCCCTCAGCCCAGCCTGCACCCTCTCCAATCTGCGATCCCTTTCACAATCCAGGACTGCTGGATCCCAACTGCTCGCCTGTCTGCCTGATTGCCCCTAACCACTTCTGCCTGCCAGCCTGATCACCCCCTAACCACTCTCCTGCCAGCCTAATCAACGCCTAACTGCTCCCCTGCCAGCCCGATTTCTCCCCTAACTGCCCTCCCCTGCTGGCCTGGTCACCCCTAACTGCCCTCCCCTGCTGGCCTGATCGTCCCTAACTGTCCTCCCCTGCAGGCCTGATCGCCCCCAACTGCCCTCCCCTGCTGACCCAGTCACCCCTAACTGCCCTCCCTTACCAGCCTGGTTGCCCCCAACTGCCCTCCCCTGCTGGCCTGGTCACCCCTAATTTCCCTCTCTTGCCAGCCTGGTTGCCCCCAACTTCCCTCCCCTGCAGGCCTGGTTGCCCCCAACTGCCCTCCCCCGCTGACCCAGTCACCCCTAACTGCCCTCCCTTACCAGCCTGGTTGCCCCCAACTGCCCTCCCCTGCTGGCCTGGTCACCCCTAACTTCCCTCTCTTGCCAGCCTGGTTTCCCCCAACTGCCCTCCCCTGCAGGCCTGGTACCTCCCACTGCCCTTGCCTGCAGGCTTGGTCACCCCCAACTACCCTCCCCTGTTGGCCCGGTCACCCCTAACTTCCCTCCCTTGCCGGGCTGGTCGCCCCTAACTGCCCTCCCCTGCTGGCCTGGTTTCCCCCAACTGCCCTCCCCTGCAGGCCTGGGTCCCCCCCAACTGTCCTCACCTGCAGGCCTGGTCCCCCCAAATGCCCTCCTCTGCTGGCCCAGTCACCCTAACTGCCCACCCCTGCTGGCCCGATTGCCCACAACTGCCCTCCCCTGCTGGCCATCTTGTGTGTTGGAGTGATGGTCAATTTGCATATAGGATTGTCAGCTAATGGCTCTTAATAGGTTTGGCTCTAAGTAAACTATACTTTTCAGCTGGTGACTTTACCTTTCCAACTTTGTCTTCTCAGCCATTAAAAAGTTGTGGTGAGGTGGAGGGGAGAATAAATGAGTTAATTGAGCTTATTAAGTATGTTTTACAGATTCATAGAACTGGGAGGTCTTATGAATTTGTAAAACATACTTAAGAAGCTCAATTAAAATCTCCTCAATAATCCACAAAAGAGCAATACTCTTTATTGTTTGAAGGTGTAGGTTGACAAACTTTCTATAAAAGGCCAGAGAAGAAATATCTTGGGTTTTTCAGGCCATATGGTCTTGGTTCACAGTTACTTAATTCTGCTCTTGCAGCATGAAAACAGCCACAGACAGTAAGTAAACAAATGAATGTGGCTATGTTCCAATAAAACTTTATAAAACCAGGTGATGATTCAAATTTGGTTTCAGATTGCAATTTACCAATCCCCTGTTCTACAAAAATGATTAAAAACTAAGACATTCTTCCTATGCTTCCAATTCTTCTTAAGCTATTATTATACTTTCATATAACCTATTGTGTAGGACTTTTAATTTCACAGTGACCAAATAATATATTTCAAACAATGAAGAAAAGAACAGAAGGCGTTCCTTGAATCTCATTATGGTGTTTCAGTTTTTTCGACTTGTGTTCCTGTTTTTTCAAATTTTTCTATTAAAATTATTGATTAGATCAAATGAAGACATACCATTATGTTTAAAAAACTGAAAACTCAGCACATTCCAAAGAAATAAACTCTTTATAAAAGATAAAACATCTTTATTTTCCACCTCATATTTACTAGCAGACTAAACCACAACCATAACTGTCTCTTCAAGTCAAAATCAGTTTAGCAGTGAAACCAGGTGAATCATTTACCCAGAGGGACAAAAGTCCTACTTGATCTAACACGAATGGCCAAAAAAATAAGCTTAGGGAAAAATGAGGTTTATGAAATGATCCCTGACCTCTAATTAAGAGCTCTGTTGGAATACAGCAAAACATGTAACACTAAAAACAAACAAAACATTTAAAAATAAAACCAGCATCTGAGGGAAGAGTGCAAGGATATTTATACATGAAGAATCTTTTGAATGCACTTAAAGGTAATCACAAGACGAAGTACTACTTAATCACATGTTATTTTTAGTCTGGTCTTTCATTAATTCCTTATACCTAACCCTTGACTAACACATGCACATTTGTGAAATACCGATTATAGAGAAATGAGGAAGATTAAAATGTAAGCCAACTTGATCTCCCTACCAGCATTCTGAGCTGTGGCCGCAGAAGAATGGGATTTGAAGCCAGAGCTTCTCTGGAGCACAGTCTGAGCCGCCCTCCGCTACACATTCATCAAACGTCTGGAACGAAGACACAGCAGCACATATGAGCCATAAACCTAAGTCAATGAGGGTTCCCATTCACTGAGATACTGAATTAAAGGGATAGACAGGTTATGAATACATACCTGAGAGTGTTTTCACATAACTGAAGAAAGTTAAACATGGATTTTTCTCACACCTTTGTCTATGCCAGTGTTTGCATGAGTTATTTTACTATATGAACAGAAAACCCCCAGATAAAAAACTGTCCTTAAAAATAAGTACTGGTTTATATTATGTTTGTATATTTATACTTTCGAACCTCTTACTATTGAAAACAAGGCTAAAGACACTATCATTTCTTTATAGTCATTTTATTATAATCATCTATGAAATAATCATTTGAAAAGAACATAAAGTAGGACTACACTTAAGTCTCTTCATTGTACAAAGCAGAAGTGACCTCAGATACTTATGACCTGCATGCCTTCCTCTGCAAGTGCACCTGACTGAAGTATTTAAAAGGAAAAGAGGCTCACAGCTTATGTATCTAAAATTACTCAATTCCACCTTTGTGAGTACTCCCTGTCATACGCATTTTAACAGTAGCCATTATCTATTTGAAATGCTATAATATTGAGATACCAGAGAACAAACTCAGGAGCTGTGGATGCTGCAACGAGACATCTACAAATACCACCTATTATTACTGAGAGGAAGCAGATGGAGTAGAATAAGTCCTAGTTGGAGTCCAGGCTCCTAAGTTTCTAGATCCAGGTTTCTTTGTTTTAGAAGCTTAGTATCTACTCTAACTCATTCACCTGCCAAATGTTTTATTATCTATATATAGAGAGAGCCAGGGACCATCACATCTGAAACAACCAAACCGATGACCAGACGACTGAACACCAGGCTGCATGGGGCAACCAGGCCTGGAGGGGGGGTAGTGAGGGATGACCAAATGACTGAGCAGCAGGCTGTGTGGGGCAACCAGGCCAGCAGGGGAGGCAGTGAGGGGTGGCCAGGCCAGCAGAAGGGGGCTGTGAGGGGCGACCAAGCCGGTGGGGGTGGGGAGGCAGTTGGGGGCAGCCAGGCCAGCAGGGGGGGCAGTTAGGGTCAACCAGGCTGGTAAAGGGGGGCAGTGAGAGGTGACCAGACTGGCAGCGGGGGCAGTTGGGTGCAACCAGGCCAGCGGTTGGGGGGGGTAGTGGGGGTGACTAGGTCGGCAGGGGGGCCAGTGAGGGGCGACCAGGCCGGCAAGGGGGCAGTTGGGGGTGTCCAAGCTGACAGGTAGGGCAGTAAGGGGCGACCAGGCTGGCAGGGGGGGAAGTAATTAGGGGCAACCAGGCCAGCAGAGGGGGACTGTTGGGGGCGACCAGGCTGGGAGGGGCGGCAGTAAGGGGTGACCATGCTGGTGGGGGGGCAGTTAGGGGCGACCAGGCTGGTGGGGGAGGTAGTTGGGGGCGACCAGGCTAGCAGGGGGGCAGTTAGGGGTGATCAGGCTGGCAATGGGGCCAGTTAGGGGCAATCAGGCAGGCAGGCAGGTGAGCAGTTAGGAGTCAGAGGTCCTGGATTGCGAAAGGGATGTCCTGGATTGGAGAGGCTGTAGGCTGGGCTGAGGGGACCCCCCCCCTCCATGCATGAATTTTGTGCACCGGGCCTCTAGTCCTATATAATAAAAGGCTAATATGCAAATTGACTGGGCAGCGGAACGACCGGTTGCTATGATGCGCACTGACCACCAGGGGGCAGACACTCAATGCAGGAGCTGCCCCCTGGTGATCAGTGCGCTCCCATAGAAGGAGCACCGCTCAGCCAGAAGCCGGGCTCACGCCTGGCAAGCGTAGCAGTGGTGGCAGTCGGACAGCACTAAGAATGTCCAACTGCCCCAGAGGGCAGGCCTAAGCCGTCAGTTGGACATCCCTTGAGGGATCCCGGACTGTGAGAGGGCACAGGCCTGGCTGAGGGACCCCGCGAGTGCATGAATGTTGTGCACTGGGCCTCTAGTACAATATAAAAGCAGAAAAATATGCCCATTGGGTTTGGCTCAATAGATAGAGGGTTGACCTGCGTACTGAAGGTCCCGGGTTCGATTCCGGTCAGGGACACAAGCCTGGGGTTGGGGGCTCCATCCCCAGCAGGGGGAGTGCAGGAGGCAGCCAATCAATGATTCTCATCATTGATGTTTCTATCTCTCTCTCTCCCTCTCCCTTCCTCTCTGAAATCAATAAAAATATAATAAGAAAATAAAAAATAAAAAAACTAGAAAAAATAAATATAAAAATATTCTTGAGGCCATTTAGATTATTACTTTAGATATTTAACTCCTATAATTGAAGGTTAAAATAAACAAAATTTGATACTTGATGGTAATGGCAATTATATGTACATTGCACCCTCTTCTGCAAATGCTTTTGCTTCTTACTTTATATAGAAAACTGAAACTAAGCGCGAGCTCTCTCAATTTCCTGCTTAGATAAAAGTTTATCTGCATCTGTAGCCCCCTACTGCCCGCAGCATTAAAGAGACATTTGCTTCTCCTATCTTTGAACACCATTCTCACCCCCTTCTGAGACCCTTGCTCCGTCAATTTCTCTTCAGTTCTTTGTATAATCACCCCTTGCTGACTTCAGATATATTAATATGCCAAGTGTCTGTCATCTTAAAGAAACATTTCCTGATATTTTTGTTTCTTTCAAAGCCAAACTTCTATTTCAAAAGTAGTCCTTCCTCGGGTCAGTCTTAACTAACCTCTCAGTGGCTTCTCAGTATTTTGGATTCCACCTGAACTCCTTTCTCTGACATCCCTGATGGACTTGCCATTGACAAATCAAAGGGACAGATTTGAAGCCTCATTCCACTAAGCCCTTTGCAATTGAAATTATTTTCCTACTCATTTCAAGGACATGCCAGGTTTGTCTTCTGATTCTCTCACATCAGTCTCCTTGGTATGCTGCTCTTTACCTGCCTACTCTTTAAATGTTAGCATTCCCTGAGTTACATATCTGCACCCTCTCTTTTTCATCTGGTCCTCTTTTCATACTCTCTATGTCTCCAAGTGCAATTTCATTCAATTCCTTGTTTCAACTCTCACCTAATGTTGATGACTCTCTAATCTATGATTTAGTTCAGACTTATATTTTGAGGTTCAAATACAATTTCTAGTGGATACCTCCACTTACTCATACATGACTAAAAATAATGTCCAATTTTATCTCTTTCTTCAACTCCATTACAACTGAATCTTCCTTCTGTTTTCTCTTGAAACCACCTATGGTCCAACCAGAAACCTGGGAAGAAGACGGGCCAAGGCTAACTCTGGATTATGCACCTTTAAGATAGAGAAAACTGATCTACAACTTGGTTGACAACTGAATTGTTCCAGATAGGAGACATTCGAGAAGAGAACCAAGGTTTCACTGTATATGCCATGCAGTCTTATTAATATCACAGATGTGAATTTATTAATGAAAACTCTTGCAAAGTTAAAAATATTAAGGAATTATTTGCAATAAAACAATATTGGGTCCTGGAATGTTACCAACAGTTGTGTCATGAGGAATAAGCCAAATTAATAAAAATTTGTATGTCTCAATATGTTATAAGACTGAAAAGGCCCACCTGTCAATCATAAAACAAAGGAATTTTCCACTTTCATAAAGCATTTGCAGATGGTCCTGTCTTCATGAGAGTTAAGGTAATGCAATAGAATTTTGCTAATGTCACTCCTATTACATCTAAATAAGTAGCTGTATTTATATGTATTTTATAATGACATTTAAAAAACAAGCAAGCCTTGTCACCATCAGGGTGAAGAATGGTTAAAAAAGCATATCTACCTAAAATGTTCAAATATAAAAGAGAAATTATGTTAAAAAAATATCTGCATCTGAGTACTGAATATGTAACTTTGGAATATCTCTCACACACACAAAAAAAGGTTGAGTAGCATGTTGCATTTCCTCCCTCCATTTTAAAGGACATAGAGGGGTTAAAACTGTGAGGTCTGGAGTTAGAGCAACTGGGTTTAAATTCCAGCTAACACTGAGCGAGGTTAACCCTTTGTGCCTCAGTTTCCTTATCCATAAAATGGAGACAATAACAGCAACTATCCCCATAGAATTGTTGTACAGGCTACTTCACACACACACACACACACACACACACTTTAAAATACTGCTTGATACACAAAAAACACTCAATAAATGTGAGCTATTATTATTGTTGTATCATTACTAAGTGTTATTATTATCTAATTCTCCAAACCACAAAACCATGGTATCCAGGACTAACAATGACAAATGGTGGATGTAGGAACCAAGGTGACTGTGAATCTTTGCCTTACCAACATTAAAACTGCTTTGGTGGAAGGAAGGAGATGGATATATTTACTGAGTAAAAACTAATGTAAGTGATAGGGTTTTAAAAAAAGTAATGTGTTGAAATGATTTAGAAATAACTATTAATACATTCTAAAGTACTGGGTCAAGAGTTATATTAATAGAGTTTATAAAATTTTATACCTACAAAAACATAAGTATATCTTTTTAGGAGATTAAGTAATGCTAAGACATTGGTAGACACTAAAAATAATGTTTTGGTCAGCTATCTGTGTTTTGATTAGTATCTTCTACCTAAAGTTTTGAGACTAAGAAAAGAAATAGCAATTTATAGAAACATAAAAAAGTAAAATAAAACAAAAAATGTTGCCGCCTCATGTGACACTAACTTGGAAAAAAATTGTTGGATGTTAATTGTTCTATTATATTAACCTACAGGCCCCATGCATGAAAATTCATGCAAGAGTAGGTCTTCCTTCCCCTGGCTGCCAGCACCGGCTTCCCTCTGGCACCTGGGCATCTTGCTTTGCTCTGGCCTGGCCAGCAGGCACCCAGCACCCAGACAGCTTTGCTCCTGCCCCGCCAGCAGGCACTCGGGACCCAGGCAGCTTCCCTCTGGCCTCAGCTTTGTCCAGAATGACATCTGGAAGGATGTCCAGTCCAATTAGCATATTACCCTTTTATTATTATAGATATCTAGCATCACTATCATGTAACACTTTAGGAAAAAAAGATGCAGAATTCACTCATTCAACTATCTGTTAAGTACACACAGATGAACTAGACACTATACCAGTGATGGCGAACCTTTTGAGCTTGGCGTGTCAGCATTTTGAAAAACCCTAACTTAACTCTGGTGCCGTGTCACATCTAGAAATTTTTTGATATTTGCAACCATAGTAAAACAAAGACTTACATTTTTGATATTTATTTTATATATTTAAACTAGAGGCCTGTTGCACGAAAAGATTCGTGCAATAGGCCTTCCCTTCCCCTGGCTGCCGGCACCAGTTTTCCTCCAGCACCCGGGACCCAGGCCTCCAGCACCCAGGCCTCCAGCACCCGGGACCCAGGCCTCCAGCACCCAGGACCCAGGCCTCCAGCACCCGGGACCCGGAACAGCTGCCTTCAGTCTTCGCTGTTCCGGCCAGAGCTGCCTTCAAGCCTTTGCTCCGCCGCTTCGCGCCCACATATGCAAATTGACCACCATCTTTGTTGGCGGCTAATTTGCATATCTTGCTGATTAGCCAATGGGAGGCGTAGCGAAGGTATGGTCAATTACCATGTTTGTCTATTATTAGATAGGATGCCATTTAACAAAGAAAAATCAACCAAAAAAATGAGTTCGTGTGTCACCTCTGACACGCATGTCATAGGTTCGCCATCACTGCACTATATTAAATACCAGGGGGAACAAAGATGAGTTAAATAGAGCCTCTGCTTTGGGAAGTTCACAACCTTTTGGAGAGGGCATATATGTAAACAAATAATTCAAATATCACAAAACAAATGCTTAAAAGAGATATCTGAATGGAATTCTCTGGGAGCCTTGAAAGGGACATGACTAACTGCCTGAGACACCAAAAAAGACTTCATGGAAGAGGTAACCTTTGAGCTGGACCTTAAAGGTGGACAAAGAATTTTCCATATTGAAGAAAAGACATCGTCAATATAGGGAACAACACATGTAGGAAAATAAGAAGTGATAAGTCTGGAGGACAGTGATATTTCATGTGGCTGAAGTGCTGGATGCCTGAAAGAAAATGAAGCAGGTCTCAGGTTATATCAGACTGCGTCTCCTATGCCTTGGCCAATCCTGTGAGCAATGAAATTCTGGTAAAGGTGATCCACCAGAAAAGTTGACAAATCAGTCTGTTTTTTTTAGAAAAACAAGCCTGGTTTTCCCCTGGGGAATACACATAAATACAACATAACCCAATATTGAACCTGCTAAGAACGCTGTTAAGCCATAATTCTCTCCTTGTTTAAAAAAAAAAACACAAAAAAAACAAAACAAAAAGGCTGCTTTAGCAAAATAGTGTCCCTAAACTGATGATCAGAAAGACTAAGAGAACCAAAGTACATACACAAATACATCATATTAATGAATAACTATAATGGTCTCATAGAATATTGTTAATACAATAACTATAATAAAACAAATATTCAGCCTTTGAACATAAATAAAATATTTCTGTAATGACAAAAACATTATATGTACTCCAAAGTATCAACTATAAAGTAGTTTTACTTTTGCTTCTTTATACTATTGGGCTCCTTTCAAATTTTCTACAATAAACAAATAGAAAAATTGTCAGATGTTGCCTGTTCTATTATATCAAGTATCTAGCATCAATAAACTTTAAAAGCACACTGTTCATTGCATTTTGTAAACAATTATCTGTACAGAAGTCTTAAAACTAAAATATTACCTTTTTGTCTCCTTGTTTTCGTCTTCTTAACCCTGGTCTATAATCATCTCCAAATCTCAGAAAGTAATAGTAAGAAACTAGCCTCTCAATAGGATCCCTTATGACATTAATGTAAATTGGCTTCTTTTTCACACCAAATCTGAAATAGAACAAAATTTAAAAGGTGAAATCAACATTATTATTGTGTTTAGGCATGTGCTGAAATTACATGTTTAAAGTATTGATTTCATATGAAAAGAAGAACATGAATTAATATAAATAAGATAATGATTATTTGTTACAATTAAGTAAATAAGAAATAAGAATTTAAAAATCATGGCTGAAAATAAAGGAAAGAAGAAAAAAATAAAAATAATTTAAAATTTTACAGACAAAATTACATAAACATTTTAATTTTATTGCAGCAATGATTTCTCATTTCTGGCCCACCATACTAGATAAATGTTATGAATGGATATAGCATAAGTCCACACAAGTGCAACCATTTGAGTCTGCTTTCTACTACTACTGATTTTAAAGATAAAATAGAAGTGAAAGACATTATGTTTTTAGCATTATTTCCTTATGCAATAAGTTGAAGGAACACAAGGCTTTTATGTTAGCAACCTTTGCAAAACCTAGAATTATCCAGCTGGCTCCCTACTGTAATAACCTCATGTGTCCCAGTCTTGAAACCTTAGTGTTATCTTGACTCTACCTTTCTTCCTCGATGATTCCCTTTCTCTTCACTGCTGCCCTCTCCCTAGGTCTCTTGCTTAGATTACTGTAAAAACCTAGTTGGTTTTCTTACATCCAGTCTCTCTCCCTTTCAATCTACCAACCATACCAATTCTCAGCTAATATTCCTAAAACACCATTTGTTAGATCACTCTTCTTAGAAACCTGAAACAACTCTATGGTTTACATTGACATCATACACAAACTCCTTTGCCTGGCTGTTAATAGTATGTGTTTGACTTTTGTCTTAGGTAGCACCTTATTGATCTAACTTTATTTTCAAACTAGAGGCTGGATGCACAAATTTGTGCACCAGTGGGGTCCCTTGGCCTGATCTGCAGGATTGGGCCAAAACAGGCTCTCCGACATCCCCCAAGGAGTCCTGGATTGCAAGAGGGCACAGGACAGGCTGAGGGACCCCACCGGTGCATGACTGGGGCTGAGGAGGGAATGCGGGAGGTTGGCCAGCCGGGGAGGGACTGCAGGAGGGCTCCAGGGCATGTCCAGCCCAACTCACTCAGTCCCAATTGGCCGGACCCCAGCAGCAAGCTAACCTACCTGTCAGAGCGTCTGCCCCCGGTGGTCAGTGCACATCACAGCGACTGGTAGACCGGTCAACTGTCTGTCCCCTGGTGGTTAGTGCACATCATAGCGAGCGGTTGAGCAGTCTTAGCATCTCATTAGCATATTGCACTTTGATTGAATGGACAACCAGACGACCAGACACTTAGCATATTAGACTTTTATTATATAGGATAAGACCATCAATCTGTTAAGAGTTAGGCCTGCCTCTTCTACCCCCTCTGTTACTATTTCTTATTATACCAATTCCTATTTCTTCTTACATGCCTCTGCTCATTGTCTTTCTTAACTAGAATGCCATTCTTATTTTCCTATTACATTAATTCACTCAAAAATGCTTTTTTAATGTATCTTATGTATGCCATGCACTATTCTAATACTAGGGATATAGCAATAAAAAAAAAATTCCTTGTCCTCTGATGCTAACATTCTACCTGGAAGAGACAGAATATAAACAAATAAGCAAATATGTCAGACAGCAAAAAGTGCAAGGAAAAAAAAAATGCAGTGAAAGGAAATAGGGACTGCCAGGAGAGGTGGGGATAAGACAATTCAAATTTTTTTTTCCAGGAAATGAGACTTTCAAGTATGAAGGCCCTGAAGCAGCTAAGCGCCAGGCATTTTTGAGGATTAGTAAGATCAATCTGGGTGCAGCAGAATCAGAAGGGGATATTAACCGAGCATGAGATGTGGATGGGGCAGGGAAGAGGAGATCATGTTGGTCTTGTAGGCCATTATAAGAATCAGGATGGAGACCTGACTGAGTTAGCAGAGAAGTGTCACGATATGGGACCTAATGTACAGCATAACACCTATAGTTAATTAGAGGCCTGGTGCATGAATTCGTGCATGGGTAGGGTCCTTCAGATGGCCTGTGGGCCCTGCGTCTGGCACCCGCCTTGGCGGGGGGGTGTGGGGGGCAGGACACGATTGGCTCTCCAGGCAGGCAGTGGGACACCCTTGTCAGCCCAGGATCCGGATCCATCCCACTGACATTCGCACCGGTTGTCGGGAACCACCTAGCAGCTGCTTTTATATCGTTTTTTCCTTGAGGAGCGTCTAGGGAGGGGAAGCGGTTGTGGTGCCTGAGGCTGACTTCCAGGAGGCTGTCGGTGCTGTCGGGATCATGCCGGTGGCACCGGTCCATCGGTGCCTGGCCCATTCTCTGGAGATTGGACCTGCAGGACTACTGAAGGAGTGAGTGGCTGCCACTGGGCTGGTGGGCCTCCGGAATGGGTTGGTTAGCTAAGCAGCACTCCCGCTATGGGAGCACACTGACCAACAGGGGGCAGCTCCTGCATTGAGTGTCTGTTCCCTGGTGGTCAGTGCACGTCATGGCGCCTGGTCAACTGGTCAACTGGTCAACCAGTTGTTCAGTCATTCAGTTGCTTAGGCTTTTATATATAGATAATATTGTACAATATACTGTAACTGAGACCCAGGTTCAGCTACCTGCCAAAACAAAAGCCAAACTTTGGAAGGAAAGTGGTTTATTCAAGTGCAGGCAACTTGAGAAGATAGGGGACTCTTGTCCTAAAGCCCATCTTAATATCTCAGTACAAGCAGAGGTTTTTATTATAAGGAGGGAGAGGGAAAGCAGAACAAAGAGATTAAGGGGATGAGGTTGAAAAGTTCTCTACATGCAGACCAACACAGTCCATTCTGATAAGGATCTCAAAACCAGTCAAGCAATGGTCTGGTGTGTGTCATCCTGGTTTTTGTCACCTGGTTTTACAGTTGAAGGTCAGCAAATTTCCCAGAACTGGGATGACTGAGGCCAGAGTCTGTATCTTTTAAAGTTAGTTCCTAGAATTCCTATGCAAACATGTTGTTAATCTATAAGCTACATATTAATCAGTCAACACTTACAGAAACAATGTCAAAAGAATGGTGGGATGGGTTACAATTCCCCACTGTTATAATACTTGAAAGTTGCTATGAGAGTCAATGTTAAATGTTCTAACAACAACAATAACAACAAAACGGTAACTATGTGAGGTGAAGGATGTGTTAACTAACCTTATTGTGGCCAACATTTCAAAATATATACTACTAATTTCTGAAGAATTTAGTATAAACCATCTATAAAATGCCAGCTGTGTGTAAGACACTGTTTGTAATAGACAGAAGTAAGGTAAAATGTGACAATGGTTAGTATAGTCATATGCATTTTAGTGCCTTTGGGAAAAGATTTTAGTAAGAAGAGAAGTTTAAGTTATAAGCTATTATCTAAATTGATGGTTTCTGTGAGTACATCAAGAGTGGTTAAAAGGAGCCTGGCTAGCGTGGCTTGGTAGTTGAGCATCAACCCACGAACCAGAAGGTCACGGTTTGATTCTTGATCAAGGCACATGTCCGGGATGTGGGCTAGATCCCTAGTGTGGGTGGTGCAGGAGGCAGCCAATCAGTGATTCTCTCTCATCATTGATGATGTTTCTCCCTCTGTCCCTCTCTCCCTCCTGCCCTCCCATGCTCTCTCTCTCTGAAATCAATAAGAATATGTTAAAAAAAAAAAAAAAAAAGAACTAGAAAATGTGCTTTAAAAAAATCAGGACTAGGATTAGGCCCTGGCTGGAGTGGCTCAGTTGGCTGGAGCATTGTCTCATGCGCCCAAGGGTCTCGGGTTCATTTACCAGTCAGGGCACGTACCCAGGTTGCGGGCTTGATCCCCAGTCCAGGTGCATACAGGAGGCAACTGATCAATGTTTTTCTCTCACATTAATATTTCTCTCTCTTTCTCCCTCTCCCTTCTTCTCTCTCTAAAATAAATAAAACGTGTCTTGGCATGAAGATTTTTTAAAAAAAGAATAATCCCTGCCTGAGTAGCTCAATTGGTTAGATCATCATCCCCAGTACCCAAGGTTGTGGGTTTGATCCTCAGTCAAGGCACATACAAGGAACAACCAATGAATGCAAAAATAAGTGGAACAATAAATCGATGTTCCTCTCTCTCTAAAAATCAATAAATTAAAAACAATTTTTTTTAAAAAAAGACTAGCATTAGGAGAGAAAGACGTAGTTAGAAAAGGAATACAAATATGTAACAAGAAGATATTTTTGTTATTATTCTAAAGTTCTGAATAAAGCCAGACAAATATAAATAAAACCTGGCTTGAGCAGAAACAGGCCTGTAAATAAAATGTGTGCTTCCTAGTAATCAGTCTAAATGAGAAAGCGCTTTTCATTTTTTATTTCTCTATCTTATTTCCTCAGTTTCCTGGGTTTACACTCTTTTTAGCATCTCTGCTAAGGCAATTAAAAAGTTATGTGATTAACTATTTCTTTCACCAAAGTGGACCATTTATTCCTGAAGGCAATTATTTTAATGGCATCCACAAAGTACTATGCCAGCCAAAAATTTATTTTGAAGAATAAAGTATTTTAAAAATTGGTATGATGACATTTCTTTCTTCTTCTTTACTTATTCATGGTGAGTATGAGTATCAAACTAAAAATTACTTTAAAAGATACTAGTTATATCTACAATAGTTCCTGACTACATATATCAAAATATATTTTCTCTAGTTATTTTTAGGTATTTGTTTAAAATCTTATAAAAGTCTATTAAAAATTCTCACAATACTTTTCATTTCCAATAACATGAAACCCATTATGAAAATATTCAAACCCTAAATGTTCATGTTTGTATTTATAAATGAGATTAATTTTTTCAAGAAGCTTTATACTTTTTCAACTGCAAGAACTCCAACATATACCAGAGCTTCGTTCTAAGTACAAGACTTTTGCCAAAAGCAAAAGTACGCAGTACATTATTTTAATAATGAAAATCTCAACTATTAGAAACCAAACTCTGTGTGGAAAAAATAAATCATTTAGGTGAAAGGGTAACAAACATTCAATTCAAGGATAATGCAGCCCTGAGGGGAAATATGCATATGAATAAAGTTTATGAAATTGGTTCAATGCCTCTACAAAGAAAACATAATTAGTTTATTTTAAAGCTGCCTATAAAATGTTTTCAATATTGCAATATGAATTATTTATAGAAAAATGCACGTCTATGAGGGAAGAAGGAAGGAGGAGGTAAAGAAAGATATGGGGGGATAAATGGTGATAGATGGAGACCTGACTTGGGTTGGTGAAATCACAATACAGTGTACAGATGATGTGTTGTAGAATTGTGCACCTTTATAATTTTGTTAATCAGTGTCACCCCAATAAATTCAATTAAAAATAAAAATGTATATCTAATCTTTAAAGCTATCATTTTATTGAAGATCTTGAATACAGTGAGAACAACTAGAAATAAGAATACATTGTTTAAAAAAAAGAATATATTGTTTTGTGTATGTAATAGTTGGAAGATTCCTATTTATTTACATGCTTTTCAAAAAAGTTAAGATTTAATATCAATCGGAATCAGTAATATTTCATTCAACTTTTTCTTTTAAAATTTAAGAAATTAAATTGACAGATATCGATTTAATTTTCAAATTTTATATAGAATGCTCTTTCAAGTTGACAAATGTATTACTTTGAAATCATAACTGCTAATGGAAAGACTGAGTGAACAGGTCTAAGCTTAAATAATTTTTTAAATATATTTTTAATGTGTTTAACGTTGGTGCAGGGTCTCATAAGGGAAAAGATTTGGATTCGGGGTGTTACTATAATGGTATATACTAAAAAGCATTCAAATGGACTCACAAGCTGCCTGTGTTTAGAATAATCCTTTCAACCAGTTTTCTGATTAGTACTTAACGTAGCACAGATTCCACTGGGAGCCACACAGAGCTTGGATGCTGTAAATAGGCCTGCAGTTTCATAAAATTTTCTTGAGAGAATTATAATAGAAATACCTGATCCCATTCTTCTAAAAAATTATGGAAAATGAGTGTTATTTATCTCCAATTTCAGGCAATTAACTATAAAGAAAAATAAAGGAAAATCACTATATTTTAAAAAGTCTCCTTTGAACACATCAAAATTTTAAAGCTAAAATAAGGCAGCCCCGCCCTGACTGGTTTGGCTCAGTGGATAGAGCGTTGGCCAGCGGACTGAAGGGTCCCAGGTTCGATTCCAGTCAAGGGCATGTACCTTGGTTGCAGGCTCATCCCCAGTGGGGGGTGTGCAGGAGGCAGCTGATCAATGTTTTTCTCTCATCGATGTTTCTAACTCTCTATCCCTCTCCCTTCTTCTCTGTGAAAAATCAATAAAATATATTTAAATTAAATAAATAAATAAATAAATAAATAAATAAATAAATAAATAAAACAGGGCAGCCCCAGGGAATGTGCACACTCCCTGGTCCTGGCTGAGCAGCAGAAGCACAGGGCACTATTAACTAAGGATTGACTTCTCTGCTTTCTCGTTCTCAGCCAATGGTAAGCCATATTGTGATTGGCCTCTAGGTTAAAACTTGAGGTTTCCTAAAATAGTTTTATTTGGTTGGACAAGAAACATAAATGTAATGATGATAAATAACTTTAAAGAGTATTACCTAAATTTACCTCAAATTTCTGAAATTAATATTCACAATTATCAATTTATGAACACTAGAGGGCAGTAAAACACTAGAAGGTATATTTAAATTACATAACTAGAAGTGTCAAAGGCAAGCCAGTACTTTTATTTTTTAGTCATAATCCTAACAATTTAATGAATTTATTCCTTTTTAGGTTGCTAAAGTACACAGTATTCTTTGGCGTGTCATTTTAGGTATAACTTACTTTGCAAAGTCCAAATAAGAAATGTGTCCATGATAAAACCCGGGTTTCATCTCTTTCCAGGAAGTGATGTTCTTCACAAAGCGTACCTAAACAGGAGGACACACTCATTACTTACGTGTAATTTAAAGAAAATGAAATTCAATGATAGTAAACTACTTTCCATGTAGGCATTTAAAACCAATCACAACTGTAGTTGGACAGTTACAGAGCTTAAAACACAGCTTTCTAACTACGAAAAGTATAGTGTGATCTGCAACTACTAATTCATCATCAACAGAGCTATCACCACAGTCAGAAAAGAGGGAAAGAAGACCCTAAAAATGCATCGCACAATGCAAACATTCACAATGCTGTACAGTGCAGACATTCACATGGGATGAGGGAGGGTGGCACACACATTGTGAGAATAAACAAATCATCTTTTCTGTCAAAGAACAGTTTACACAGCCACCATTTTGGCTCATGTGACTTGGCAGCCACCATGTTGGCCGCATGACTTGCAGCTTCCCTGGGGGCTGCCATCCTGAAACGGCAAAGGCCAACCCCTACCTTTGAATTAACCAATCATGAAAGACTGTGGGCCTGCGCTCCAATCAAGAGTGAGAGACAGGTCATGGGCGTCTGGATTAAAAAGCGAGCAGCCCACCTGCTCAGTGGTGTGCTTCCAGACCATGTGCGTGAGCACCCCCCTGCAGGAGTAAAGACATTTGTCTTGCTTCCTGGCTCCCGAGTATGTTTTATGTTCTACCAGGACCCCTGAATTTTGCCTTATTTCTTACAACATGATGAAGCAGGCAGCACTGTAATATAGGAAGATTCTAGGCAAATCTGTTTTCTTCTTAGAAACCTGTTATTCCTAAAAAATCATTTTTATTAACAACTCAAAAAATTAAAAAATTACTAAATCAAAATGATTAAAGAAAACATGGTAATTATCAGAAGACTTTAAAGAGTTAAGAGCAGATATCATAAGTTTGTTGATAAAAGATAAAATTAGAGATGTGATATAGGTAAAATTTTTTAAAAGCTAATTACTCCTTTAATTTAATAGAATTAAAAGTATACAAAAGATTAGTTAATATGAAAAAGTCTTTGCAAATATATTTTAAAAATTTGCCCAGCCGGTATGGGTCAGTGGATTGAGTGTTGTCCCATGCAGCAAGAGGTCACAGGTAACTCTACACTGCCAGCTAATTTCCTTAATTTAACTGTCCAATTTATATAAGGCATGAAAACAACAACAAAACAACCAGAAGGATTTGAAAGGAAAAGCGAGTAGTCATCCTTCATATCCTGATTCTGATTTAAAAACTTAGACTGGAGAATGTCAGGTTTTATCTACTAAGAAAACCCCTCAAATCCAATCATTAAAACTCTTTGACCTCCAAAAACTCAAAGTTCTGTTGATATCTCTCTCTCTCTCTCTCTCTCTCTCTCTCTCTCTCTCTCTCTCTCAATTGCTTATTTTCCTCAGTACATTCACTACAATCTCAACTTCCAAACCACCCTGTTCACTACTCTCATCCTGGACAACCATTTTTCATCAGTGACCACTGACTTATTCTTGCCCATTTTATTGTCTTGGGTAAACTCAGGGGTTGCTGAAGATTGCCAGTCAAAACTAAGATACGTGGTTTAACTATGTATGCAGGACTTTGCGTTTTATTTCCCAACTTCATTCTGAGGTAAATTCAGGTGGGTTATTGTTGAGACTTTTAACAACACCCATTGCTAAAATCTCCAAAAGATTCAGAATCTTTCTTTAATCCCCAACTGATAGAATACTGAAGACTACATACTTGATGCATATGTATTTTTTCCATCTCATCAACATTCAACTAAGGCAATATGTTAAAGTCTCATTAATAAAACTGTGGCTGACTTACAATTTGCAATAACTCAGAAGATGCTGAGCGGAGATTTACCTTCCCTCTATAGGAAAGAAAAAAGTGCTAAGCAAACAAATGATGTCAATAAGGTTAAAGCAGCTCTTCAGACTGATCTGGAGAATAGTTGAGCATTTACATACTACTGCAAGTCTATACCATTCTAACCTCTTCTTTCAAAGTGACCTCCAAGGTCATAACCAACTAAATAACCCTCTTTGAAGAACAGTATGTTCAGTTTTTCTTTTCAAAGTATTTATTTAGCCACTTCTCCTTTTAGCCATCCTATATAATAAAAGCCTAATATGCTAAGTGTCTGGTCATCCGGTCGGCCATTCAACCAATCAAAGCGTAATATGCTAATGATATGCTAAGGCCACTCAACCGCTCGCTATGATGTGCACTGACCACCAGGGGCCAGAGAGTTGACCAATCGACCAGTCGCTATGACATGCACTGACCACCAGGGGGCAGATGCTCCTACCGGTAGGTTAGGTTGCTGCTGGGGTCTGTCCAATCGGGACTGAGCGAGACAGGCCGGACACACTCTGGAGCCCTCCCACGGTCCGTCCCCAGCTGGCCAACCTCCCCCGTTCCTCCCCAGCCACAATCGTGCACCGGTGGGGTCCCTCGGACTGGCCTGCGCCCTCTTGCAATCTGGGACCCCTTCAGAGATGTCGGAGAACCAGTTTCGGCCTGATGGTGGAATGACCGGTCGCTATGATGCGCACTGACCACCAGGGGGCAGACACTCAACACAGGAGTTGCCCCCTGGTGGTCAGTGTGCTCCCACAGTTCAGCCAGAAGCTGGTCTCACAGCCAGCAAGTGCAGCGGCAGTGGTGGGAGCCTCTCCCGTCTCCGCAGCAGCGCTAGGATGTCCAACTACCATCAGCAGGTCATCCCTTGAGGGCTCCCGGACTGCGAGAGGGTGCAGGCTGGGCTGAGGGACCCCCACTCCCCCATGCAAGAAGTTTGTGCACCGGGCCTCTACTGTTAAATATTTCTCGTATTTCTCCTGAATTTTCCCTGTCTCTCCTCTCTTCACCTTTAATCAGTCTAGTTTCAGTTCCTGCTCCGTCACTTTCTGCCTCCTCACTTCTCCTATACCACTTACCTTGTCTTTCAGTATTTCTTCTGTTTTGTTTTTGTTTTTTTCTCTACAGTGCAGCATTCTGCCCAAGACCTTGAGATAAAGCTCTGGAGCACAGAGGAGTAAAGGGAAATGGAGAGTAGGTGAACAAGCTTCTATTTGGTTTTTAATGGATTCTTATTGTACTTGGCACTAATGAAGGTAAAGTGACAGACAAAAAGGAGCAAAACTAAAAGTATCAAATGAAGTTAAGGAGACTGAAGACACTAAACTGGCTTGGGGGAGAAAAATAGTCACCACAGTGACTTTATTCAAAGAGAATTTCCATACTCTGATTAAAATAGGCTATCAAGAAGGATGATTCAGCAGTAGTAGTTAGATACAGTAGATGAAAAGAGATGTTTTCATGCCTAGCCTGGAGCAGATCCTGAACTGTGATTTTTTTTTTGTTTGTTTGTTTAAAGTATTACATATGTCTCTTTTTTTCCCAATTGACCCCCCACCCCGGCCACTCCCACCCCCAAGGGCAAGCCCCCACCCCACTAGTGTCTGTGTCCATTGGTTGTGCTAATATGCATGCACACAAGTCCTTTGGTTGATCTCTAACACCCCGTCTCCCCTGCCATTTGTCTCTGGATCTATTTTTGTTCATCAGTTTATGTTGATCATTATATCCCACATATGAGTGAGATCATGTGGTATTTATCTTTCTCCAACTGGCTTATTTAGCTTAGCATAATGGTCTCCAGTTCCATCCCTGCTGTTGCAAATGGTAAAAGTTCCTTTATAGCGGCGTAGTATTCCACTGTGTAGATGTACCACAGTTTTTTAATCTACTCATCTGTTAATGGCCACTTAGGCTGTTTCCAAATCTTAGCTATGGTGAATTGTGCTGCTATGAACATAGGGGTGCATATATCCTTTCTGATTGGTGTTCCTGGTTTCTTGGGCTATAGTCCTAGGAGTGGGATTACTGGGTCAAATGGGAGTTCCATTTTTAATTTTTTGAGGAAACTCCATACTGTTCTCCACAGTGGCTGCACCAGTCTGCATTCCCACCAGCAGTGCACGAGGATTCCTTTTTCTCCACATCCCCGCCAGCACTTGTCATTTGTTGATTTGTTGATGATAGCCACCAAACTGTGATTTTTGTCAGATTTTATAACTGAGCAGAGTCAGGCTAGCAAGTAATCAGAGAAGACCTTCAGGGAAAACACAAGCAACGTGGGGAGCAGTGCTGTGATTTATTTGCTAGTTGAATCAGACCTGAACCAGTGCTGCAGGAAAAAGCTGAGAAAGCACCATCTTGCTAACAGTGTATATCTAGACCTATTCTTAATAAGATTAATCTCAACATTATGATTATCTGTGATCACAAAAGAACTTGTTTTCACTATCTAAAAGTAAAAATGCCATTCTGAACATCCTGGCCACATTTCAACTTTTTAATAACTACCTATTTAATGAATACTATTAACTTGGGTGATTATTATATACTGAAGTCCTACTCATTCATATACTTAAAATAAAGATTCATTGCACAGCGTGGGTAGTTTTATGAGACTAAACTAGAGAAGTTTTATATACAAAGAGAAAAACAGTAATTGTTAGATAAAAATATAAGAAAGGTCAGCAACAACTGCATAAATTATCTTCACTATAGTTCAAAACTGTGTTATTGAACCCTTTTTTGTGGGAAGGTGGGCTGGGGTGTTCTCAATCACCTGAATTAAGGTTAGAGTATATTATTACCCTCAATCAAAGGGGCTCGCTTTGCAGTAATTATCATCATGGTATCATGCTCAGCTAAGAATGACTTTCAGAATCATAGCTGGTTCATTCATTTAACAAAAAAGTTATGCAATGTCTACTATGCCTCAGGCACTGTTCTTAAGCATGGAGATATAGTGCTGAACAAGACAGACAAGTTCCTTATATTATAACAGAGGAAAAGACAGACAATAAACAAATAAATCAGCAAATAATAGGAAAGATACAGAAAGACTGATGGTACACAATAACTTGGAAGAGGCATTTTATATATATAAAATAGGCATATTATATGTATGGTGACTAAGTAGGATTTTACTAAGAGAATGCCATTTAAGC